TGATCTCTCTAAGATGAGGCTCAGGCAACTAGTGTTACTCATTCACTGACAGTCTTTGTCTTGCAAGTGCTTCACTCTTACTTGGAGGGCAAATCAAAGATCACTGGATATTTACCAAAATTTTCTTACATGAGAAACAGATGGAAGAAAAATTCAGAGGATACAGAAACAATACAAGGAGCAGAAAAAAAATATATTAAAAAATAACACCATTGGGGTGACAGAAAATTTAATTCATGAAATAAGAACAGTAAGTTATAAAAAGGAACATTTTATATAAAGTAAGAAAATGGTCTTAGAAATTAAAAATATGATAGAATTTAAAAATTCAATAGAAGAGTTGGAAGTTAAAATTGAACAGATCTCAGTAAGACAAGAAAATTGAATAAAAAAGATCAATTTGGAACATCTGACAAGTGATTAGATAGGTATGGTAGGAAGAGAATAGGAATAATGGGAAGAAGTTAGAGAAACAATTCAAAAAAATTAGCCAAATCTAAAGGAAGTGGGTTGCCAGATTGAAAGGACCTGCTAGGTATCCATCCCAATGAGAAAAAAAGAAAAAATGTCCTGAAATTTTAGAAAAATAGTCATAAAAAAAGATCCTAAAAGTTTACAGAGGGAAAAAAAGGTTCCACTCACAAGATTGGAATTGTACAATAATGGCACATCAGATTCCTCAACAATAATATTGGGAACTAGGAAGAATTTTATCTTCAATCAAATTAAGAATCAAATCTGAGGGTAAAGATATATTTAGGCATTTTCTCAGATTGCTATAAAATATACTTAAGCTCAAAAATAGGAAGAGAAGGGTTTTGAATACAGGGTATCTATCACTAGAGAGAATAAAGAAGCATTCCTAGGAATGAGTAAGGGAATCAGCAGGATGATGGCCGCACTTCAGGTGGAGAGAACATACGTCCAGATTAGAGTAGGAGGATAGAGCTTCAGGAAGGATATGTCACAGAATAAAGTGGAACTGACAGTTTATCTGATGTGTTTAATTGTATTGAGACAAGTTGTAAACCTCACAAATTTTAGAGGTAAATCATAATTATTGCATTAAAAACTAATCAAACAAAAAACCACCAAACCCTCAGACCAGTAGCTAACAGCAGGGAAAACAAAAGTTGAACAAAGTAATGTAACAATCCTATGTAATAAAAAGCTAATATGCAAATTGCCCCTCGGGAGTTCGACCGGGAGACCAGGAGTTCAGTCGCTCGCTATGACGTGTGCTGACCATCAGGGGTCAGAGCAGAACATGGTGGGCGGCCAGTGGTGGTGGCGGGGCGCTGAGGGAGTGAGGGAAGGAGGAGGCGAGAAGGCCGGGAAGCGGGGAACAGTGCAGTGGCGGTGTGTGGGTGGCAAAGGAAGGGGGAGGTGGGGAACCTGATCGGCCCTGATTGCTGGCCAGGCCTAGGGACCCTACCCATGCATGAATTTTGTACACCGGGCCTCTAGTTGTAAGATAAACATGTTAACTTATTGGGAAAATGTAGGTCAGGGAAATATATGGGGGACAAGTATATGTGGAGATGAGTTGATAGAGGCATAAGAGAGCTAAATTATTTTAACTATAGGAGAAGATACTAAATATCTAAAACAAAAAAAATCAAGAAATAGCACTATCCTATATCCTATATAATAAAAGGCTAATATGAAAATCGACTGAATGGTGGAATGACCGGTTGCTATGATGCATACTGACCACCAGGGGGCAGACGCTCAATGCAGGAGCTGCCCCCTGGTGGTCAGTGCACTCCCACAGGGGAGCGCCACTCAGCCAGAAGCCAGGCTGACGGCTGGTGAGTGCAGCAGCGGTGGTGGGAGAGACAGCGCTAAGCCGTCAGTTGGACATCTCCCAAGGGCTCCTGGACTGGAAGAGGGCGCGCAGGCCAGGCTGAGGGACCCCTCTCCGCGCCCCAAGTGCACAAATTTTGTGCACTGGGCCTCTAGTAACCTATATTTAACAATATAGAGGTAAATAGGAAAAGAGGTGAAAGTTTGAGTAATTGTCTCAGGAGAGTGGTAAATACGTGTGGAGCAGCTTATTAGATTTTCTAAAAAATTCAACTTTATTGAATCAATTTATATACAACAAAATATACGTATTTTAAGAGTATATAGTTTGATAGGTCTTGACAGGTGGATACACCTGTGTAACAGTAATTACAATCAAGATGTGACTATGTCCGTAATCTCAAAACAGTTTTCTTTTGTCCTCTCAGGTTAGTCCACCTGATTCCTTTGTCCCTGGCAACTACTGATCTGCTTTTATTATAGATTAGATTTGCCTTTTCTAGAGTTTCAGTCAAATGTAATAATAAAGTCTGTGATGTTTTGTTGCTGGGCTTTTGCTCAGCATAATGTTTTTGAGATTTATCTGTGCAGATGCACTAAAGGTAATTTTTTCTTAGTGGTATTCCTTTTTATGGGTATATCATGGTTCTATTCATTCACCTGTTGAACATCTGCTCAACATTTGTTTCATTTTTTGGCTGTTATGAATAAAGTTGCTATGAACATTTGTGTGCAAGTCTTGTGTGGGCACATGCTTTAGTTTTAGTTTTCACATTTCAATCTGTTGTTATACTGTGAGTTAATTTTTTTATTATGAGAAGTAAAGGTCTTGCATTTTTTTTTTCACATAGGGCTTTCTAGTTGTTCCAGTTGTTGGAAGGATTATCCTTTTCTGATTGAATTATCTTGGTGCTTTTGTTCAAAATCAGTTGACAAAATCAGTAGGTGTTGAGTCTCTTTCTGGACTCATATCTATTTCATTAATCTACATATTTATTCTTAATGCCAATATGACACTGTGTTGATTGATTTATAGTAAGTTTTTAAATCAGATAAGTCCTCCAATTTTATTCTTTATATAAATTGTTTTGGCCATTCTGGGTCCTTTGCCTTTCTATAATTAACTTTTCTGTGAAAATAAAAGGTTGCTGGATTTTGATTGGGATTTTATTGATCTATTAATGAACTTGGAAAAAGTGTCATCTTAACTATAGGCTTCCATATCTTTCCACTTTTTTAGGTTTTCTTTAATTTTTCTCAGCAATATTTTGTAGTTCTTATTTTATAGTTATTGCACATATTCTATTATATTTATTTCTAAGTATGTCAGGTTTTTTGATGCTATTATAAATGGAATTGTTTTAAAATTTCTATTTCTGTTGTTTATTACTAACATATAGGAATATATTTTATTTTAGTTTGCTAAACTTTTATCCTGTTATTTTCCTGAAGTCATTAATTAATTCTAGTGGCTTTTTAAAAGATTGCTTAGAATTTTCCTTGTACAGAGTCATGTCCTTTGTGACTAGAGAAACTTACCTTTTTATGTCTTTAATTCTTTTTCTTCTCTTACTGCACTCTCTAGGACTGCTAGTACATTTTTGAAAAGAAGTAGTGAGAGTGGACATACTTGATTTTTTTCTCAATTTTAGGGGTTAAGTATTTGGTCTTTTACCATTAAATATGTTGTTAGAAATAGTTTTTTTGACAATGCCTTTTATTACATTGAGGATATTTCCTTGTAGTTATAGCTCATTGACAGTCTTTATCATGAGTGGGTGTTTAATTATGTCAGATGCTTTGTCTACATCTATAAAGATTATTGGAGGATGGTTTTCTTTTTTATTCTGTTAACATAGTGAATTATATTGATTGGTGTTTGAATGTTAAATTAGTCTTATATTTTTGAGTTAAACTGCATTTGGTCATTATGTGCTCATATATTGCTAATTTTTAGTTCAGTAGTTTTGCATTTGTGTTTTATATTGGTTTTCAGTTCCCTTTTAATGTCCTTGTCTACTTTTGGTGAAGAGTAAGGCTGACTGCAAAAAGCAAGTTGAGAAATGTTTTCATGAATAGTGTATTTTAAATGAACAGATTTTTGATACACTACCATCTATTAAATAATTCAGTTGATATATAAATACTTTGCTATTGTATTGCTTAGACTTCTGAGTTGTAAGAAACTCAGTTCAACCTTCTTGATATAAAAATATTTATTAGCTTAATGGCTCTGAGGGCTTCAAGCTTTGCTGAATCCAAGTCTGCAGATGTTACTGTCAATAATATGTATCTGTCTCTTTCATTATTTAGTTTCTCCATTTTGGGAGAGAGTTAGCCTCCATCAGCTTTAGGGTTACATATTGCTTGGAGTTTGAGATTGCAAAATGAGAGAGGCCTTCTGTCTCCTATCATCTATAATAATATGTATAAAAGGACTTAAATATCCCTACTTGAATCACATATATACAATCACTTTGTCTAGGTCAGAAGTAGGTAAACCACAACCTGTGGGCCAAATTCTGCCTGTATTTTTTAAAAGTATAGTTTAATTAGAACAGTCATGCTCATTGTTTATGTATTTTCAAGTGCTGCTTTTGTGCTACAACAGCATAATTAAGTAGTTGGTATAGAAACTGTATGGACTGCAAAGCCTAAAATACTTACTTTAAAGAAAGAGTGCTGATCTTTGGTCTAGTCAGACTGTGTTAATTGGTTGTGGAATCAGAGCCTCTTGATTGACAGCTCTATCATAATCACAGTGGGGGAAGAGAGCAATTCCCAAAAGGATTGGCAGTTCCTAAAAGCAAAGGATATGAAACAGACACCTTCCTTCTAAATATAAAAGGACTTGTCTGTTACACTCAATTTTTCCTTGTGTTGCATAGACCCTGAGATTAAACATTATAATGTGTACTTCACACTGATACAAATGTTAATAGAATAACATATTATGAGTAAGGCTGATTAATGTAGGAGATATAGGAGAATATGTAAGGATATAGGAATGGAACCCTTAAATTACATAAATTACAAAGATAGCAGTGTGAATAATGTAAATTGATGTTTTATAATTTTTCTTTTCTCAGATGATGAAACATGCCTGGGATAATTATAGGATATATGGATGGGGACATAATGAACTCAGACCTATTGCAAAGAAAGGACACTCTACTAATATATTTGGTAAGTTTACTTTTTCTGGTTACTATTTCCGTTTTCTATGTCCATTTTTAAAACAAGACTTAACTTTTTAAATTCTTTCTAAACCCTGAGTATGTCTATGGAATGGAATTATAATTTGAAGCAACATGTATTTTTTCTCAAGTTTCAGTCAAGATTGGTTATGGTTGCCTTGGAATACACAGATACGTGGTCTGATCTGTCGACTACTAAATCTTTATATCAGCAGTAAGGCTGTTTTCCTTTTTAAATATTTGTATATTCCCTGGAGTAGCACTTTTTATCTCCTTCAAGAACTTTTTATTTTCATTCACAGCTTGGCTGACTGGTGCAAAAGGTCTAGCTTTCAGGCTACCTTGGCTTTCAACATGCCTTCCTCTGTAAGCTTCATCATTTCTAGCTTTTAATTTAAATTGAGACATGCGACTCTTCCTTTTATTTGAATAGTTAGAGGCCATTGTAGGTTTATTAATTAGTATAATTTTAAATTGTTGTGTCTCAGGGAATAGGGAGGCCCGAGGGAGAGGGAGAGAGACGGGGGACAACTGGTTGGTGGAACAGTCAGAACATATACAGCATTTATTAAGTTTTGCATCTTATATGGGCACCACAAAATAATTATAAGAATAACATTAAAAACCACTGATCACCATCACAATAATGAAAAAGTTAGAAATATTGTGAGAATAATAAAAATGTGAAGTGAGCAAATGCTGTTGGAAAAATTGGGGCTGATAGACTTGGTCGGCAGAGGGTTGCCACAAACCTTCAATTTGTAAAGAACACACAGTATCTGTGAAGCACAGTAATACAAAGAGCAATAAAATGAGGGATACCTACACATAAAAAAATTAACATGCCCAAGGCGATCTACTTGGTAAAGTGAGTGGGTTATTTTATACATTCACAATTACAAAGGAAAAATTAACAATGTGAATGTGGATGGAAGTCTGGGGAAGAGCTGTGTTGACTCTAATGTTCTGCCTTTCTTGAGTTCAGCCCACTTGTTAAACTTCTCAGTTCAAAGTTAACTTACTTAACTAACTTAACATCTTTTACTTAGTCGAATGATAAGTTTGAGAATTATAAAAACTGTTTTTAGAATCTTCACTTCTTCCCACTATTTAAATCTTTCTTGTTGTGAGGGATATCTTTTAAATAAAAAATAGGTGAAAATACTATTGGGGTAACAAGGCACATAAACTAGTCATATACAATGTAGTTGTCTCTACTAGTTGTAACAAATCACTACAGTACTTCAAATAGCATATTTCTTTGTAAAACTATGGAAGAATTTTTCTAATGCTATAATTCTCTTACAGTTTGGTTTTTTTTTTGCTTGGATGCTTTCTGTAAAAAAAGATGACTGGAAAGTTAATTTTTCCTGGGTTTGAAAGATGTTGGGATGGAGGAATAATAGAAAAATTTTTAAAAATATTTATAGTATTATTTAAAATTTAAAATTATAACGAAATGTCAGAGATCTCATTATATGATATTTAATTTAGAGATCACTTAATGAAATAAGTATATTTCCTCAGCAGAGGTTACAGATGGAAAAGTTCCAATTGCTTTGTGGATGCCACAATGTGAGACATTAGTGCAGGAAAATCCGTTATATTTAATGGTTAATTAAAATTAGATCCTCTAGGAGCGTGTCCCTGCGGGCTGGCCTGCGCCACCTGGTACCGGAACTCCAAGTGGGCGGGACCCACTCCTGGCTGACTGCTCATGTCTCTGCAGAGCCGAGTCCCTGGCCCCCTGGCACAACTGTGTTTGGCGGGACAGCTGCTTAGTGCCCCACGCCCCTGGCCAGGCACCTCAGCCTGTGCCAAGTGGACCCGCAGCAGTGCATGCGGTCCTCCGGCGTCCCCTGATGCCAACGGGCCCCGCACGCGGACCCCAGCGGGAGTTGGGGCTTGGGAGGCGCTGGCGGTAGGGCGGAGAGCTGGGGTGTGCACCTGGGCCCCCCTGGCCTTGGCGGCGAAAGTGGACCCGAACACCTGCACCAACTGGAAGGAGGCAAAATCCTTTCTGAAGGGCCTGAGTGACAAGCAGCGGGAGGAACATTACTTCTCCCAGGACTTCATCAGGCTGAAGAAGATCGCGACCTGGAAGGAGACGGCGAAAGGGTTGACCCCGAAGGTGGAGGAGCCCAAGTACAAAAAGGACAAGCATCTCAATGAGAAGATCTCCCTGTTGCGAGGCGATATCACCAAGCTGGAGGTGGACGCCATTATCAACGCCGCCAACAACTCCCTGCTCGGAGGCGGCGGTGTGGACGGCTGCATTCACCGGGCCGCTGGGCCCCTCCTCACCGCGGAGTGCCGGACCCTGCAGCACTGCGAGACTGGGAAGGCCAAGATCACCAGCGGCTATAGGCTGCCGGCTAAGTATGTCATCCACACGGTGGGGCCCATCGTCCGCGGAGCGCCCAGCGCCAGCCAGGCTGCCAAGCTCCGCAGCTGCTACCTGAGCAGCCTCGCCTTGCTGCTGGAGCACCAGCTCCGCTCCGCCGCCTTCCCGTGCATCTCCACCGGAGTGTTTGGCTTCCCCAACGAGGCAGCTGCAGAGGTGGTGCTGGTCACGCTGCGCGAGTGGCTGGAGCAGCACAAGGACAAGGTGGACCGGCTGATCATCTGTGTGTTTCTGGAGAAGGACGAAAACATCTACCTGCAGCGGCTCCCCCACTACTTCCCAGTGGCCTGACCAGGTCTGAGTTGCTGCACACCCTGACCAGGGGGAGTCGCCTGGGCCTGCTGGACCTTGCTCCCAGCTCTAAGAGGTCGCTGAAGCCGGCAGCTGGGCCTGGGCCCGGCCACCCCACCCTGTCCCTCAGCCCCCTGCCCCTCAGCAGCCTCCTAATAAAGCTCACCCTTGTTGCAATAAATAAATACCCTCTCTTCAAGTAAATATCCCGTTAAATTAAACTCAGTGGTAAAGGGTGAACCCTTTTAAAGGGTTGGAGTATAAAAGCGTACTGAAAACAAGAGTTGGATATTAATTTTCTAAATTAAAATTTTAGAGAGGAAGGGAGAAAGAAAGAGAAACATCGATTTGTTGTTCCACTTATTTATGCATTCATTGGTTGATTCTTGTATGTGTCTTGACTGGAATCAAACCAGAAACCTTGGTGTATCAGGATGATGCTCTAATGGTTAGAGCATGGAAGCATCCATGCTGGGGTGTGCACCTGGTTGAGCTACTCAACCAGGGCCTCTGCTTGTTGTTTTTTTTTCTTTCCTTTTCCTTTTCCTTTTCCTTTTCCTTTTCCTTTTTCTTTTTCTTCCCTTCCCCTCCCCTCATTTTCTTTTCTTTTTCCTTTCTTCTCCTCCTCCTCCTCCCCCTCCTCCTCCTCCCCCTCCTCCTCCTCCCCCTCCTCCCCCTCCTCCTCCTCCCCCCCCCTCCTCCTCCTCCTCCTCCTCCTCCTCCTCCTCCTCCTCCTCCCCCCTCCCCCTCCCCCCCCCCCCCCCCCTCCCCCTCCCCCTCCCCCTCCCCCCCTCTCCCTTTCCCTTCCCCTCCCCCTCTCCCTTTCCCTCTCCCTCTTCCTCTTCCTCTCCATTGATTTCAGAAAGGGAGGGAGAGGGAGAGAGAGATCAAAACAATCAATAATGAGAGAGAATCATCGATTGGCTGCCTACTGCACTCCCCCCACTGGGGACTGAGGCTGCAACCCCAGCTTGCGCCCTTGACTAGAATCGAACCCAGGACCCTTCAGTCCACAGGCTGGCACTCTATCCACTGAGCCAAACTGGGTAGGGCCTCTGCTTGTTTTTTTTTTTAAAATCTTCTTTCTCAGAACATTTAATGTATTAACATTTATCAAATAGATACTGGTTCTAGGCAAGGTAGTAGGTAAGTCACACATTATTTCATATAATCATTGCAATAATTATGTAAGGAAAGATTGCTGAATTTAAATTCAGAAGATAAATGAGCTTTCATGTAACTTTAAAAATTTCATTCCTTAGAAGTCAGTACAGATCTTTTAAGTGAGCAAAAGGGATGTTTCTTAACTGAATGTAATTTTGTTAAATCCTAGTGGAGAAGTTTTGACTTAATGTTTTTTTTAAAAAATAATAGGATCTTTAAAAAATGAAAAGCAGTTTTAATTTTTGGTAATTTGGTCAGACTTCTTTAAATGTAAACTTGTAGATCACTGTTTGGTTAGGTTGGTAAGTGATGATGGGTCCTGGTAGGTTCAGATTATTGTTAGGAGAGTTCTTGCTAGCTGGCCATTAGGAGCACTTAAATTGGTTTACTGGACACACTGAGTTATTTGTGAGATCATAAAAGGTAAAGGAAGCTACAGTGTTGGAAAGGGAGGTTCTACAAAAGAAGCCCTTTCCTTCTGGATTAACTGGGTATAGAAGCAGGATTTTCCCAGTGGTCCTCCATTTCAGAGGGATCATTCTTACAATGAATACTAATTAAGTATACGTTCCAATAAAATGTTTTACCTTCTTCTACCAATCTAACATGAGGTCAGTAATGTGCTTTAGATTCTGAAATTTGGTTTGTTGAATAAGACTCTATTTTCCTTCAGAGCAGTAGTTATATACACATTAATAGTAAAACATCTATAGTATTTATATAGTTTATTCTGCTGTAGACTGAATTGTGTCTGTCACAGATTTACATGTTGAAGCTCTAACACCCAATATATATTTGGAGATAGAGCCTAATTGGGAGTTAAGCCTAATTAAGGTTAAGTGAGGTGGTAAGTGTGGAACCCTAATCTCAATAAGGTTAAATTACATAAGTGTGGGGCCTCTTACAAGAAGAGAAAAAAACACCAGATCGCACTCTTCCCATGTACACACACCAGGGAAAGACCATGTGAGGACATGGTGAGAAGGTGGATGTCTACAAGCCAGGAAGAAAGCCTTCACCAAAACCTAGAGCCTTAATCTTAGATTTCTAGTCTCCAGACCTATGAGAAAATAAATTTCTGTTGTTTAAGCCTCCTAGTCTATGATATTCTGTTGCGGCAGCCTGAACAGTCTAATAAACATACTGTATGCCACAGACTTATTTCAGAGATTGATGTGAATTGGACTAACAGCAACCTTATGAGACAGGGACTGTTATTATTGTTCCTATTTTAAAGATGAGAAAGCCAAAGCACATTTAGGGTCAACTAACTTTTCTTAGGTCACACAATTAGGAAATAATGGGGCCAGGATTTGAATCCAAACATTCTAGTGCTAAGATCCATGCTTATAACCACTATTCTATACTGCTTCAGGAATCCTTCAAGAAAGGAAAAGGTAGTATCAGCACACGGGGAACATCCAGTGTGAGAAGAATATGACAGTGAAATGGTAGACAAAGTGGAAAATGTAATCTGCAGAAGTTTTAGTAGTCAAAATTAGCTGCGTGTATCTTTTAATAATTTTGCCTGTCTGTGCCTTGGGGTTTTTATCCAATAGCACAAACCTAAAACTACCTATAAACTTTGAAATAAGAATGAAAACTGGTACTCTTAAGGATTTAAAATAAGAATGATAAATATTTTGGACAAAATACTAAAGAGATAAATAAGTGATTATGGAAGAGATCAGGATATATGGGTGATTAAATCGCTTAATAAAGCTTTTGTTATCTTAATAAAATCTGAGGAACAAGAAAAGTGAAAGTATGTCTGTAATAACCCAGAACATTCTAGTTAATATCAACATGGAGTTGGGAGAAGACTAAGGAATTTACCAGAGTGTGGTGGAGTACTTGTCTTGTTATCAAGATACTAGAGGCCTGATGCACGAAATTTGTGCACTTGGGGGTGGGGGTGGGGGACCCCTCAGTCTGGCCTGCGCCCTCTCACAGTCCGGGAACCCACGGGAAGCGGGCCTAAGCTGTCTGTCAGACATCCTTATTGTTGCTGTGGAGGCAGGAGAGGCTCCCACCACCACCGCTGTGCTCACCAGCTGTGAGCCCAGCTTCTGGCTGAGCAGCGCTCCCAAGGGAGCGCTCTGACCACAGGGGGCAGCTCCTGCATTGACCGTCTGCCCCCTGGTAGTCAGAGCACATCATAGCGACCGGTTGTTCTGCCGTTTGGTTGATTTGCATATTAGCCTTTTATTATATAGGATACTTGATAAGTTGAAGAAAGTATTAGGAATACATGAATAAGAAAATGTGATGTAAGTGAAGAAGGATAACCATTATAAGAACAAATTTGTATAGTTTTATTTATTTTACTAAATCAAAGCATTAATTTTTTTCAAACGCAAGCCTGTCACTTTTTTGTTGAGATTTTCAGATATACTTTAATTAATTTACTAAAAAATTTTTTTCTATTACGGTTGTATGGCTATAAACTTTCAGAAGAAACACTATTTACCCAGTAGAGAAAGGGTCAGAAGGAAAAAGTAAAAGAAAGACTAGTAAATTAAGTAATGTCAAATGCTGATTCCTAAAATATCACGAAATAACTTGTTAAGACAAAACTTTATCTTTCTTTAATGCTTACTTTGTAAAGTAGATCACTACCTCAGCAGAGCCTTAGTAGCCTGTCAGATGGGGAAGGAAAAAGTTGAGGTGTTTATTGAGATTTAAAATCTGGGTTTTTTTTAGATGGGCCTTTTAATTGGAGGAGGCTTGTTTATGATGATCAGATAAGAATCATGATATAATAATTTAGGATTGGTAAGCAGGAAATTTGGAGGCAAAGAGTTCAGAGCTTTGGCATGTAATCCATCTTGTGATACTTTCTGTTGAAGAGTTGATAGGTCTCTCAGGAAGTTCCTGGAGTGAACAATAAAATTAACTTCCATCATTCTGAGCAAGAGACTCCTGAAACAGTAAACTCTTGATGAAGACAGTATAATAATAAAGTCATGTTAATGCAGATAGTAAGCTGTGTGGATGTTTTCATTCTCAGAAGGTAGAAATAATAATTGCATTCCTGGGGTTGGGGAGGACCCATTTGCTCCCTTTTATTTTTTTTTCTGTGCTACTATGTTTGTTTGCTAATATTTTATTCAGGAATCTTGCAATTCATTAGTAAGATTGGCTTGATTCTTGTCATGTGTTTTTAGTATCTAGTTTTGGTATCAGCTAGCTTTTTAAAAAAATATATTTTTATTGATTTTGGAGAGGAAGGGAGAGGGGGAGAAAGAGAGATAGAAACATCAATGATGAAAGGGAATCATTGATTGGCTGCCTCCTGCATGTCCCCTACTGGGGATCAGGCCTGTAACCTGGACATGTGCTCTGACTGGGAATCCAACCATGAACTGGTCCATGGGTCGATGCTCAACCACTGAGGCATGCCAGCCAGGCTCAGCTAGCTTTTTTGAATTAGTTCCTAACTTGTGGAAACATTTCCTTTAAGATTAGGATTATCTCTTTCTTGTAGATGGGTAAATCTTATTATTTTGATTTTCTCTACTCACATTTGATTTATGGCTTCCTTTTTCAGTATGATCAACCTGCTTTTTGATTGTTAGGATTATTGCAATTTCTGTTCCATGATTATCTAGTCTTGTTGTACTTGTATTATTATTTTTAAATAGATATTTTGCCTTTTCTATGAATTTGTACCAGAGGAGCATGGTTGTCTTGAAACCGGACAACAAATAGGTCTGGACTGCCTGTCACTACTTAAGCCAATTAAACAGAGACAGGGTTGAATCGTATATGAGCATTTTTATTTTCTAATGTTTATTTTCTAATATTGCTGGCAGCATGGGAGACAAGCAGGTCATCCACAAAAATCTGCTCTGCCCCTCCACCCCCATAAGCCTGCTACTTATATTGGGAAGAAGGACAAAGATTATGTGTGGAATTAGGCAAAAGGAATAAGAATGGGTATGCAAATGGAATAAAAATGGGTAAAATAGTTACAGATTACAGGCAGTGGGGGGGAA